TAAGAATCTCTTAATTTTTGTTACTAATTAGATTAATGTAAATGTAAACCTTTTTATGACAAGTCAAATTTCTAAAAGTTTATGAAGAGTTTATAATCATTGAGGGGAACTTCAAAAATATTACATTTGGTATCATTTTTAAAAAAATTCTTAAAATTTCTAAAGTTTGTAATATCTCTTTTAACTTTTTTTGTTTGGTTGGTCAAAGTATCTCTTGAAATTTTGCTAGAAAATTTATAAAATAAAACATAAAATAACGTATATTTTAGAATCGACTTTAAAACGAAACGGAAATACATTCATTTTTTTACCTTGATTATTTGGAACGATCAGACCAAAGCAACACCATTAGTTGCATACTAACAAATTTTATTTTTGAATACTTTAAATCGAGACATATCGAAAACAAAAAAAAAAAAATCTTAATTTTGTTACTAATTAAATTAATGTAAAATGTAAACCCCTTTATGACAAGTCAAATTTATAAAAGTTCATGAAGAGTTTTTAATCATTGAGGGAATTTCAAAAATGTCACATTTGTTATCATTTATAATCTCTTATAACCTCTTAAAAGTTATAAAGTTTGTAGTATTTTTAATAATTTTGGTAGTAATTTTATAAAATAAAACATAAAATAAAGTATATTTTAGAATCTACTTTAATACGAAACGGAAATACATTAATTTCTTACCTTGATTATTTGGAACGATAAGACCAAAACAAAACCATTAATTGCATACTAACAAATTTGATTTTGACTAGTTTTAACCGAGACGTATCAAGGAACGATAAACCAAAGTGGCACCATTAGTTACATATATACTAACAAATTTGATTATGAATATTTTAGACCGGGACGTATCAACTTTGTCTTTAAATTTATATTTAGTGTTTTTACTCTTCAAGATTAGGATGTTAGCTTCGAACTTTCATAAGATCTTTTTTTTTTTTTTCCACGAGAGGCTATTGTTGTGGCTAATTCATTATCTAAGAGAACTCTTTATGCTTTTGTATTGTCGACGGATTCAACTTAATGAATAAAGCGATGATTTTGGCCA